TAATCAAATCAGATAAACTATAGGCAGTTCTTGACTTATAACCAATTAAGCCCATAATTATGTTGGGATGATCATTAAGCAAGTCACCATGTGGCATACCCAATTTATCAGATTTTGTTGCAGAAAAATCAAATCCAGAAAGCACACACAGATGACTGATTCAGCCGGATTCATTAACTTCTTTATATACATAATAACAGATGAATAAATGTATAATACTAATAGTAGATTCTTTCAATGTGGTAGAAGTTACAAGCAGAACGCAAGCAGGAGAGAAGAGTTTCATTTCAGAGTTCATAGCAGACAAAGAAGTTTTGGTTTCGATTCTCAGCAGACTCAGATCTGTTTAAGCTCCCATTGGCTGACTTAGTTGCTATGCCTATTCATTGGCGGACTTTGTTACCATGTTTCTCCCAGTCATGAATATTCTAGCACAATTTTATGACCCTTGTTGTGGAAGTCAGTAAGTGAATGCAATGGGCATTAAGCAAATGTTATGGTAATTAAGCAACCCCATTGTTTCTACTGGGCATTTTTTGCTGGAAAACAGAAGGAAACACCAGATGCTGGCTGGGAAATTCTCGGAGTTGAAATCCCCAAGTTTTAAAGTTGCCAAGACCCGATTAAGAGTATCATATGATGATCTACGAAGAAGCAACATTGTTTTTAAAATTAAGCAGGCCTGGAAGCTAGACGATGGAAGATAAGCAGCGTGTGCATATATTACATCATGACATCCTGGTATAACTTTTGTCTACCACTTTTACATTTCCCCCTGGAACTAGGATTCAGCTACTTACTTTTCTGGAGCTTTGATCACCTGGAGATCTTGTGGGAGATTTAGAATCTGGCTTAGCTGTGGCAGAACAGATTGCAAAGTCAGGTCTTCTGGCTTGCCTATTGGAGGAAGAAAGAGCCTATCAAGGGCACACATTCCAACCAAATCTTATTTACCACTCCTTCTTGAGATCTCTCACTTGTAGGAGATCTCTTTCCCTTACCACTGGAGATCTGCTTATCCTCCAGATTAAAATTAATATCAGTTCCCAATTTATTTTGCACTGCAAGGCAGTCAAGCTGGTCAGTCCTAGAGGAGATCAACCCTGACCGCTCTTTAGAAGACCAGATCCTGAAGTTGGAACTCAGATACTTTGGCCACCTAACAAGAAGGAAGGACTCCCTGGAGAAGAGCCTAATGCTGGGAACGATTGAGGGCAAAAGAAGAAGGAGACCACAGAGAATGAGGGGGCTGGATGGAGTCACTGAAGTAGAAGGTGTGAGCTTAAATGGACTCCAGAGGATGGTAAAGGACAGGAAGGCCTGGAGGAGTGTTGTCCATGGTGTTGTGGTGGGTAGGACACGACTTCGCAACTAACAACACCCAATTTATTTTAAGAGAACACCTGTTATCTTCACATGTCTCCTTATTTGGAGAACAGTGCTAACAGAGCCAATATGCAAATATTGGTTTCACTGATTTATAAAGAATGCTTCACTGTTTCATTTATAAGAAAAGTATTAAAGATAGTCAGCTGTCCCATACCCCATTCAATCACAGGACTGCCTACCTGATATAGGGATACCACAAGGTTTGTTAATGGCCACGAGGGTACCTGAAATACAAAATTGAAAGGACAAGTGGCAATGAGTTCAAAACAATTCCAGAACAGGCTAATAGACTGCTCCATAATTCAAAATAATGCTATGGTGGGATTTTAAAAGCCACAAGTTATGGTGGGGTTGGCTTTGGGGGAATGGCTATCTTATCACACTTCACAGTTCCCATGTTCATTCCTTTCTTCCCATTTTCTTTTAAATTCAGGGGAAGGAGAGAGAGAATATGTAGACATTTGAAAAATGTACAGAGTGACTCAAGTTATAATCTCCCAGTTTACCACATAGGCAGTCCTTATTTAACAATCGTAAATTGTTTGTTAATCAATTACAAATTTCTTCCTAAGCAAAACAATCACTAAGTGAAACCATAATTGTGCTAATGATTTTACTTCAATTTTCTCTGCTTTAGTATTATCAAGGTCATAAATGCAACGCTTGGTCGTAAAGTTACTATTTCATAACTGTGGTAACTGAATGATGTTAAATGAGGACTACTTGAATCAACAGAAAGGATTCCATTGCAGATGTCTATGAATGACAAAACTAGCACTTAACAATAGCAATAGCACTTAGACTTGCATACCGCTTCACAGTACTTTACAGCCCTCTCTAAGCGGTTTACAGAGTCGGCATATTGCCCCCAACAATCTGGGTCCTCATTTTACCCATCTCGGAAGGAAGGAAGGCTGGGTCAACCTTGAGCCTGGTGAGACTCAAACCACTGGCAATCGGCAGAATTAACCTGCAATACTGCATTCTTAAAAACCACTTCTGATGTTCCATTGCAAAGTTTAGAAACCTGCAAGTCCAAATGTACACGCAGGTAGTCCTTGACTTATAATCATTTGTTTAGTGACTGTTCAAAATTACAATGGCACTGAAAAAAGTGACTAAGGAGCATTTTTCACACTTATGACACTTACAACATCCCCATGGTTACATGATCAAAATTCAGATGCTTGGCAACTGGTTCATATTTACGATGGTTTCAGTGTCCAGGGGGGTCATGTGATCTCCTTGCGCAACCTTCTTACAAGCAAAGTCAATGGGGAAGCCAGATTCACTTAACTGTGTTACTACCGCCAGTGGTGGCACCGGCGCGCTAGGTGTCAGGGCCTAGGAGGCCTAGCTGCAGTAGTCCTAAGGTATGTGGGTAAGACATCCCCCCAAAAAATAAGACCTGGTGCTTATTTTGGGGCCCAAAAGAAAATAAGGCCAGGCCTTATTTTCAGGGAAACACGGTAGCTTAACAACTGCAGTGATTCACTTAACAAGTGTGGCAAGAAAGGTCGTAAAATAGAGGAAAGCTCACTCAGCAACTGTTTTGCTTAGCAACTGAAATTTTGGGTTCAATTGTGCTCATAAGTTGAGGATTAGCTATATACGAGATTCAGCAGTTTGCTCAGCTATATCATTTACTAAATAAACACATTGGCTGAGATCACACAGCATAGTAAGCTAATAACAAGCCACATTATAGCTTAGCTCATATCCCTCCAAGTCTTAAACAGATCTGTGTTCCACCAACCTTCTGACCCATCCTTAGCAGAAGCAAGAAACGGACTCCTTGTCACAAAAAAAACACACCTTTATTTACCTCTTGTGAATTAATTGCATTCACCCACTGAAAAGTTCAGGCAATAGTCCTTCAAGGAGTTATGAGTTCCTTGCGATAATTGTAAGGCTGTGAGCTCCCAGCCGAAAGGCTGAAAATTAAGTTCTGGCAAGCAGTCTTTGTGGCACAAAACACAATGAGCAAAATCTTCAGAAATACGAACTGTTGTCTCCTACGACAACCACCCCCCTTTCCTTCTATTTATTCTCCAGCCAGGAGGGGCCATTCAGCGTCCATGTGTGCTTTGTTTCCCGAGTCAAGTCCTTGTCCTCTGTTGCTCACCTCTAACTGCTCTGCACATACGTGCATCTGGAACAGGCCCCAGCTGTTCCTCCTCCTCATTCATATCAGCCTCCAAAGGCAGCTGCCTCTCCAGTGGCTGGAAAATGTCGGACGGCCCTGGCTCTATCTGTGCTTCCAATGCAGAGCATCCATCAGAGCCTTCCCAGGACTCCAGCACTGGTCCACGTTCCTCCCCAACCTCCTCCGAGTCTGTTGCCAGCTCCACTGGCAGCTGGCAGGCCACAACACAAGCAGGAGGAAGCTTCCTAATTAGATACATTAAGGCTCAAAAAAACTACAGTTCCCCTACTGGATCCAAGCAGATGGCCCTGGGAAAAGAACATACCCAGTGATGTGAAGGCAAAAGATTGCAGCTCTTTAGCTGCTGGGTACTAATTTGGGATATCACATGAAGGTTCTGTACACTTTTCTGCACTTTCAAATCTCCTGCCATTTGGTTTTAAGGTTTGCCCATAAGCTCCAGTACAAGGATGATCAATCAGGCCTTCCAAATGTTATTGGGGTCTACTTACCATAAACCCCAGCTGGCAGAGTTAACCAAGGATGATAGGAATTTGAATTCAGCAACATCTGCAGGGTGCCCTACCTTTGGCTCAAGAATTATGAGAGAAGACACATACCATCCGCATGTACTATAGATGTTTTCAGGAGTTTCAACAACGAATCAGGCTCCAGTGACTTCAAGGGTTTCAAGTAGCTTATTTTATTGGGGGTTTCTCCCATTGACATGTCTACTTTTTTAAGGTTCAGCAAGTGATACCTAAGTCAAATGAAAATTGTTAAAAAAAACCACGCTTGTATTCTAAGCCAGCTCTTATCTTCATATTAATTTTCTTTTTTGCAGTAATTTTTTTTTGTTATAGATGAATACCTTACCACCACTAGATATTCTTGGCAGTTAATGACTGGAATTATGATCATCAAGAGTCACAAATGTAATGAGGGGGAAACCTGTGGAAGTCTAGATGTTGCTGTATAGATATGAGTGTTTGGAACTGCAGAGCAGCAACATCCAAACCACCACTACTTCCTTCATTGTACATAAGAGGTCAAGTGAATGGAAAGCAATAGCACTTAGACCAAAGGTGTCAAAGTCAATTTCATTGAGGGCCATATCAGGGTTGTGTTTGACCTTGGAGGGGCATAGTCAGGGTGGGCATGGCCAGTTCAACTGTTGGGGGCACCTATGGTGGCCAAGTGCTAAGGCAAGACTTCCCTTAGACTTCCCTCCCTCCCTCTCATTATAATCTCTCTCCTTCCTTCCTTCCCTCTTCCTTCTCTTTTCTCTTTCCTCATTTTTCCTTCCTTGCTCTCTTCCTATCTTCTCATCTTTTTATCTTTCCTTCTTCCCTTTCTCCTTTCCCGTCCCTTCTTGTATACTCATTTCCAGGGCAGCCCCATGGGCCAATCTAAGCATCCTGCGGGCCAGATCCAGCCCGCAGGCCTTGAGTTCGACTTCCCTGACTTAGACTCATATACCACTTCCTCTAAGTGGTTTAGAGAGTCAGCATATTGTCCCCCAATAATCTGGCTCATCATTTTACTGACCTCGAAAGAATGAAAGGCAGTGCCAACCTTGAGCTGGTGAGAATCGAACTGCTGGCAGTCAGCAGTGAATTAGCCTGCAATACTGCATTCATGCGCCACCACGGATGACCGGGGAGGAGAGATGTTTTAACGTGAACACAGTAAATGAATGAGAACTAATCTAAAGGATCATTCCATACTAATTTAGAAACAAAGTTAGCATCATTGACTTTGTCCATTTTGAAATGCTCATGGGGCAGCTGTGTGTTTTATATAAGTATAATCTTTATTGTCATTGTACTTAAATACAACAAAATTGGTTATATGCAGCATGGCTGAAAACAGAGCTTTCTATACCTGTTGAATGAACACGTTTTACAAATATCCATGCTTAGAACTGGAAGCTTATGTAAATACAAATGGATTTGCTATTCTCTCTTCAATTTCAAACCAGGTAATAAGAGCGGGTTGTATATAAATGAAACAGTCACTCAAATTTTCTGAGAAATACACTGAAATACAACCACAGCCATTCAATATTTTCTTGCTCAATTCCCATCAATTTCATTCATGAATTTATTTGGAGAGGCAGAAAAAAATAGCCCAAGGTAAATAGCTTTCCATTTATAAACTGGAGAAAGAAAAAAGTATCCTGCACATCAATGTTTCTTAATCTTGGTAGCTTGAAGATGTGGGAACTGAAGTCCGTACATCTTCAACCTACCAAGGTTGAGAAACGTCCATGTACATTCAAGATTGGTCCAATAAACAGATCCAGTCAAAACCCGAAGGGCAGCTGGCTCGAATTGTCTCTCCGCTACTTTTCCTCTAATAGGAGAACTTCCAGCAATTTCGGAGGTGTGAGAACTGCAGGCAAGGGATGCAGCCACTGAAATGTACAGGTAGTCCTCGATTTACAACAGTTCATTTAGTGACTGTTCAAATTTGCAATGGCACTGAAAAGAAGTGACTTATGGCCATTTTTCACCCTTACGACCGTTGCAGCATCCGCATGGTCACATGAGTTACATTTGGATGCTTGACAATTGACTCACATTTATGACGGTTGCGGTGTCTCAGGGTCATGCTTTTGCGACCTTCAGACAAGCAAAGTCAATGGGGAAACCAGATTCATTTAACAGCAGTGTTACTAATTCAAGAACTGCAGTGATTCACTTAACGAATGTGGCAAGGAAAGTCGTAAAATGGGGCAAAATCTCACTTAGCAACTGTTTCACAAAATCAATTTCGGGTTCAATTGTGGTCTCAGGTCGAGGACTACCTATACTTCATCCCCCGCTGCATCCATTGCCGGCAAGTCATGCCTGTTGAACTTCTGCCTGTTCCGCACCGCACCGACAAAAACCCGCAATAGAAGAAGACGAGCGAGTCGTTTTTTTCTTACCAAGCCGGCGGGGTGCTGAAATGCGCGCGCAGCCTTCCGCGCGCGCGGGCCACGCGGCGGAGGCTAAGCCCGAACATCCCGAGCGCGCGGAGACTATCCCGGAAGCATCTGCTGCACGGGAGACAAAACGTGCGACTTTCTGCATATCTATACAGATTACAGCACGGTGCCTGCTGGGAGATGTAGTTTCCTGAGAGAGGTGGGGAAATGACGCATAGCACCGCCTCTTCCCATGTATTAAAAAAAAAACCCAGGAACCCCCTCCCGCCCCACAGAGCAGCCATTGACTGAAGTGCAAATTCGCGGGAGGCGGGGCTCCAAGAGCAACACGTTTAAACACAGGCCGACGCGCATGCGCTCTTCGCCTTGGCGGTCGCTTTCTCTCTGCCCCTCGTGAAGATGGCTTCGCGCGTGGGACCTCGAGCCACGGGAACCGATGGCAGCGACTTCCGGCACCGGGAGCGCGTGGCCGAGCATTACCAAATGAGGTGGGGTGTGGGGTGTCGCGCTCATGCACCCATTTAGGAAGCCACATTTATTTTTTTCTTCCTGTCTTTAAACCTGCATGTTGCAGCATCGGGAGCTGCCGCCTTCCTGCCTGCCCTGTCTGATCCGTGCTCTGCAATCTACTCGGCAGGACGATTGTCGTTTAGCTGCTCCTGCCGACCATTGAATTGGTGGCTTCCTCTAAAATGAGAATCTCTTACTGCATTAATTCCCTCCCTCTTTTATATATCTATATCTATATATCTATATCTATACATATACATATATATAGATAGATATAGATATATCTATACATATACATACATACATATATATATATAGATAGATAGATATAGATATATATAGACATATATATAGATATATAGATATATATAGATATAGATATATAGATATAGAT